GGACTCCTCGAAACGGACGTCACGGGAGTCAAAGAACCGGTGAGAGGGAGGGTGGTAAAAGGTGAAGTCAGAGGAGTCCTCAGGGAAACCAAGGAAGACACAGGGGACGGCACGAGGCGAGAGCTTGTCCGCGGAGGTGTCGCGGACAAGAGCCAAGCACCCCCAGACACGAAACCGCGACGCAACACCAGGGAACCCTGTCCAAAGACTGGTCGGTGAAACCTCTGGTCGAGAGACACGTGGCCAGAGGTTCAGCTGGTGCGCGGCGTACCTGACCGCGTAGGGCCACAGAAAATGGGGGGCACAGGCGTGAGTCAGGGAGGTGCGGGCGATCTCCATGACCAGGCCTATGCGGCGCTCAGCAACCCCATTCTGCTGTGGGGACTCTGGAAGCGTCCAGGACTGACGAATGCCCTGCTCGCGACAGAATCCAGCGAGAATGCCGGAGCGAAACTCACCCCCACGGTCGGAGTGGAGACAGCTGACACGACGACCACGAGTGTCCTCGGTGGTGAGCAACCACCTGATCAGCGTAGAAGTCACCTCAGACTTCTTCGCCAGAGGGAACACTGTGGTGTAGCGGGAGAAGTCGTCAACGACCACCAGAAAGTAACGCTCACGCTCAGGGCCTAGACGAGGGGCTGGGCCCCAGACGTCCAAGTGAAGCGTCTCAAAAGGCTCGGTGGCCGGACGAAGGGAGGAGGAGTGAGGGGTGGCGCGCAGCCTACCCTCGACGCAGGGACGACACGGCGGCGCAGGCGAAGGCGGCAGCGACGGCAAGACACGTGGGAGGCCTAGGACAAGACGCTGACTAGACATAGCGCGCAGACGTGGAAGGGACGGGTGCCCCATCCGGTGGTGCCACAGAACGGTGGGGTGGGCAAGCGACCGGCAGGAGCACGACGCAGCGACTGGAACAGACGGAGGAACCTGACACGACACAGACACCTGGGGGGACGTAGCAACCTGGTGAGACGCGGGGACCCGAACGGGGGGGGGAACCGGGGGCAGTGGCAGTAGGGGGGGCTGCTGGTGCGGCCGCTGGTGCTGCTGCTGCTGCTGCTGCTGCTGCGGCTGCGGCTGCTGCTGCTGCTGCGGCTGCTGCTGCGGCGCACGCGGGCCAGTGTGAAGAGTGTAGAGACCCGAGCCCGGCTCAGCAGTAAAGGTAGCAAGAGGCTGGTAAGAGTCTCCGTCAACACACACCGCAGTCTCTCCAGAAGGCTCAAACCACACACCCACGTGCTGGCTCACGAGGGGTCGCACGCCCACCAAGTTCCGGGAGAACGAGGGGACGTGAAACCCAGTGAGAGACCCGGAGGGAGCAGCAGGACACGGTAAAGTGGTAGTGTGACGTGCAGTGACTGGTCCCGTAGTGGGATCAGCCAACGCTACAGAAACAGGCGCAGGAAGTGGTGTAAGTGTCGTGCTGTCCCGAAAGAAGCAGTGGGAGGCTCCAGAGTCCAGTGTGAACGACAGCGAAGCGTCCTCTGAGGTAGTCGCTGGTCTAGAGTCTACACAAGTACCTACACTAGCAACAGGCAACTCAGCAAGACTAGCACCTAAGCTAACAACACCAGAGTAAACAGAGTCAGAAACACTAGAGTCAACAACAGCATACATAGCATGAGGAGCACTAATCAGATCAACTAACTGCTCAGCAGACATGCCCCACAGAGCGGAGCCGTAGCGCTGAACCAGAGGAAGCCAGTCAGGAGCAGGACCGCCAACCCCGTAGGTCAACCGGACCGTGTCAGTGAGCTGAGCAAAGCACTGACCAGGGGGGTGAAAGCGGCCACAAGGGTGGCCCCGACGAGGACCTGTCTGAACCTGGTAGGGGCAGGGAGGGTAAGCAGCACCGCGCTGGGGCTGACGCAGCCCCGACCCCGGAGCCAGCTGCTGACGCTGCTGCTGCTGAGGCTGCTGGGAGGAAAGGGGCTGCTGCTGCTGCTGAAGGTGCTGCTGACGCTGAGCCTGGTACCACGCCGCTGCTCCACCTAGCGGGGCCGACAGTACAGGAGGCGACTGACGAGCTCGAGGGTCGCTGCCACCAGCAGGTGCAGTGGAGTCACCGGCCGCTGCACGAGGGGTCTCTCCAGACGCTGCACTCCCACCACCGCCAGTCGCAACAGCACCCCCACTACCTCCGCTACCTCCGCCTCCACCTCCACCGGAACCACCTTTCTTGCCCCCCCTGCCGCGGGACCGCGACGCAGTCGTAACAGCAGCCGCAGTCGCGTCAGTAGCGGCAGTGGCAAGAGAGGCAGTGAAGGTGGGTAACTGCGGGACTGTGCACCCGTGGAAGAGTGGGGGGGATACAGTACCAGAGGCGGCAGCTACCGAACGAAGGTTGCTCTCGACATCCTTGAGTGCAGACTCAAGGACCTCGATAGTCAGCTCACTAGGGTGCTTCAGCAGAAGCGCGTCACGAACGCAGGCAAGGCGGTCAGGGAGGCTAGTGGCGATGAAATAGACAGTAATCGCCATGGGGGGAGGAAGCAGTGCAAGCTGTGCCTCAGTGCAAGCAGCGCGGTAACTAGCGTCAAGCGAGCGGAGGTGAGCGATCAAGTCAGCAGAGCGCTCAAACGAGGCAAGATCAGGAAACAGGAACGGGAGGAAAAGACGGCCGAGAGAGACAGTAGCGGGAGTAGAGTAGCGGGCCTTAATCGCAGTGAGGTACGCAGCAGCGGTGCGAACCTGAGTAAAGTGGACCTCCTCGGACTCAGGGAGGAGGCTGCTGAGTGCGATGCAGGCCGCAGCGTCACGCGACGTCCAAGCCGTCCGGTCAGCGCGCTGACGGGCAAAGCGAGCCGTAGCAGCATCGTCAGGAGCAGGGCCTAAAGCTGTAGGCTCGGGGGGCTCGGGGAGGTCACCAGTAGCGTGTGACCAGAGGGTCTCGCCCCCCTGGACCTGACTCTCTAACAGACGACGAGCGCGAAGAAGCCAGACGGAAAAGTCAAGGGGTCTACCGTCGGCGTCGAAACGAAGAACTCGCGGAGTCGCCATAGTGAGAACGAACAGGCGAGTAACAACCGGGGGGGGAAGAGGACTCAGTCGCAGCGGAAGAGTGGGCTAGGACGACGGGCCAAGACGTAGGGTAGGGCAACGGGCCAGGGCCTAGGGTAGGGCGACGGGCCAGGGCCTAGGAAGGGCGACAGGCCAGGGCCTAGGGAGGGCGACGCGACGGGGGAAAGGTCAGGGCGACGCGACGGGGCAGGGCGACGCGACGGGACAGGGCGACGCGACGGGGCAGGGCGGCGCGACGGAGCAGGGCGACGGGACAGGGCAGGGCGACGCGACGGGGTAGGGCGACGCGACGGGACAGGGCGACGGGACAGGGCAGGGCGACGCGACGGGACAGGGCAGGGCGACGCGACAGGACAGGGCGACGCGACGGGACAGGGCGACGGGACAGGGCGACGGGACAGGGCGACGCGACGGGACAGGGCGACGGGACGGGGGGGGGTAACAGGCAGGCGCGACGCGACGGGGGGAACGGGCGCGACGCGACGGGGGGGAACGGGCGCGACGCGACAGGGGGAACGGGCGCGACGCGACGGGGGGAACGGGCGCGACGCGACGGGGGGAACGGGCGCGACGTGACAGGGGGGAACGGGCGTGACGCGACGGGGGGGGAACAGGCGTGACGCGACGGGGGAGATGACGCTAGGCTCGGTACTAGGCGCGGTAACTACGAAACTGGTACGAACGAGAGGTAGGATCAGGCTCGGGAGGTACGAACGGAGAACGGAGGAACGGGATCCCACAGGATCCTAACCTAGCTGATACCATGTCAGAATGAGGAATGAGTGTTGCATTGATGTTGGTTGGGGTACATATGACAAACCCTAACTTCTGTACCCCCTAAGACAAACCTCACTACAGGCTACAACATTTGACACTTACCGGATTGGGCCACGTCACCGAAGCTGACCACGTCGACACTCCAGAAACGAAGGGGAGTGTTGGGAATATAAACGCATGACTTAGTGCGTTTCTGTAGTATCGAACCTCACCCGATACTGAAGCACAACAAAAGGGGTACGAAATCGAAAGGGCGCGTACCACATCAAACCGCAACTGGAGGTTGCGAGCTGTAACCGCCTGGAGGTTACGTAACAGCAAGCGACGCTTCAGTGAACAGTAACCGCCTCGATAGTCGAAGCGTTACGCGTCTCGATAAACACAACCGCTTCCTGTAATCTATCTTTCCTATATATTCCTGTATGCTCTTTGCTTTAATCAATTACTTGTTCTCACACACCAGCACAAGTACATTCACTCAAGTCTTCCGCTGTGCTACTCTAGCACCTACTAGCCTATTCTCTGCAAAGATCCTAAGGCTGAAATTCTCAGCCCAACAGACCGTCTATCCAGACGGTCATCGTCTGTTTGTTGTTTTGACCAATCAGGGTCGGAATTCCTTTTGAGCGTAAGAAGTGAACGCTCTCAGATTGGAAATCCACGTAACTAGTCCCCAGCAGCGCTAACAGTGCCTTCGGAGCAAATTTTGTCTAGTAGTGCTTCTCGATAAACTAAAAACCCAAGTCCTTCTATAGACAGGTAGATATATTACCGTATGATACTTGCTTGTGCTATGAAATTTGTTAGGGCAAATTAATTTATTTCAATTCAAATTCTAGGCAAATGCCTACTGTCACTGTGCTTGGTGAGTGCTTGCAGAGTGACGGATTCATGTTCAGGACGCCTTCCACAGTCAACACTAGGCTTCAGCAAAATAGATGTATCTGAAATTACAGCATCACAAAAGCTACACACACTACACCAAAATCCACCAACCCTGCACACAAGCCCACCTATTTAACCCTCCCACCCTCACACAACCCCCCTTTCCCCAACACACATACGCAGCATCACCAAGCAACCGTCAACAGCAGCAGCACAACGCCTTTCTACAACCCCACGTCAGCTCAGCTGGCAGAACTCCACTGCACCATGTTGCCACCAGCAGCAGCACGCACCACCGTCTCGCCCGCCTCACCCTACGCCATGGTTTTTGCTGTGCTAGCAAACGAGGTACCGCCGGCCTTGAGCGCGCCCTTCATGCCGCCGTTGCTGTACCCCTTGGCCGCCGCCTTGAGCGCTTCAACGCCGCCCTTCTGCACCACCTTCTTCGCCAGCCCTCCCGCCTTGCCCGCCGCGTTCTTGATCCCGTTCTTGATCTTCTTCCAGCTCAGCAGCACCCGCACCGCCTCGTCCAGCCCGTCCGTCGCCTCCCCCACCTCCTCCTCCTCGACACCCACGTCCACGTCACCGCCGCTCGCTTCCAGCAGCATGCGGCCCCAACTCGCCGCGTCCTCGCCAGCGCTTCCCCCAGCAGCGACATCGCCCCGCAGTGGCGCGGACGCGGCGTAGAGTGCGGGAAGGGAGACGAGGATCAGAGCGAGGACGAACAAGGAGCGAAGAGAAGCCATGGTAACGGTCGCGCCGGATTCTAGAGATTAACACTGCGAGCGATGATGAGGATCAGATTCGGCTGGTTTTTTCAGCACTGAGAGAAGCAACTCAGTTGGCAATGGTGATTGGTTGGATTGAGGCGGTTTAAGTAGCGAAAGACGAGGAGGAGGCCGCGAGGGTGGTGAAGGGATCCGTGGTGCGTCGCCAGCATGATGGCACTCCACCCAGCAGCCCGCGGTTATTGCTGGCATGGCGCCACCGCACAACGCGCATCATGCGGAGAAAGCTACTGCTCTGCACGCTAGCGCGCTCGTGCTAGGATAGATTTTGAGTCGGAGATGAACGGCAGCGCGGCCGCAATAATGGCTGCTAGTTCATTCAAAACAATGGGCTCGTCAGATCGCCAAGGAGGTGATTTTCGAGAGATTTCGAGAGCAGGAAGCGAGGGTTGGGTGGGGAGAGAGGAGTGCGCCGTCTGTACCGTAGCGGCATAAACCTAGTTCTTTCATTCCAGAAACTCGCAGTTATTGCTCGCATCATGGCGCCGCACAATGCGCAAAGAGCGACTGCCGCGTGAGGCGTTGGGATGCTACGCTGGTAACGAGGACACACGCTGCTGTGCTCCTGGGTTTGAGAGCTAATGGTGCAAGAGAGGAAGCTTCGAGATCAACAGCAGCGCGGGAAGAATGGCTCTCAGCGGGTACTTGTTTGTGGAGGGGAGGATGGATGGAGGAGTGCTCGGGGACTCGGGTCGGGACTCGGGGCTGGTTTCCCAGGCAGCTCGATCCCAACGAAAGCAGCCAGCCCAACAAAGTATCAGCGAATTGGTCGACGAGAAACGAAACGAGAAGTACCTGGGCTTCGTTCGGAGGCCTGTTCTAGACGCTGCGTTTGAACACTGGAAGTTTCGATCGCCCGGCCATTTTTACAAAAGTAACTGGTTTCGCTTCTCGTCGAGTCGTTCGCCAACGCATTATCGAAGTGGCTGGTGTTCGACTAGTGCTGGTTCGCAAACAAGCCATTCTCCCGCTGAACGCGCTCCCGAACACCCCTGCTTCGTCCCCTTCGAAAAACTCTTTCCCACCAGAAGCCATTATTGCCGCCGCTGGTCTCGGAGCTCTCTTGGCATTGAGCTCTCGACTCAAGTCCTCGTTGACCAGCGTGCCGCATCCAACGCCCCACGCGACAGTTTCTCTTTGCGCATTTTGCGGCGCCATGATGCGAACAATAATGAGAGAACTAGGTTACTGCGTACGACGGTACAGACGGCACTCTCCTCTCCTCTCCTCCCCACCCAACCCTCACCTTCTGCTCTCTAAAAAATCCCTTGTTGGCGATCTGGCGAGGCGAGACCCTATGCCAGTGAGGCGATGAGTTGAATCAAGCCATTATTGCCGCGCTGCCGTCCAACTCGATTGCCTCTGCCACACCCCAGAAGTAGTACAGCTTTCTCCGGATGTTGCGCGTTTTGCGGCGGAGCCATGCCAGCGATAACCGCGCGATGCTGGGAGGGGGCCATCATGCTGGCGACCATCATGCTGGCGACCATCGTGCTGGCGACCATCATGCTGGCGACCATCATGCTGGCGACCATCGTGCTGGCGACCATCGTGCTCGCCTCCTCCTCCTCCTGGTCTTTCGCCGCTACTTAAGTCGCTTCCATTCCGCCATTCACCATCACCAACCGAGTGCTTCTCTCAGGGCTCGAAAGTCACCCAAATCTGATCTTTATCGTCGTTCGCAGTGCTCTCTTCTATAATCCGACGCTTCTACGCTCTCTAAATCGCTCGTCACCATGGCCACTCTTCGCACCGTGTTCATCCTCGCCTTGGTCCTCGTCTCGCTCCCCGCACTCTATGCCGCGTCCACGCCACTGCGGGGCGACGTCGCTGCTGGGGGAAGCGCGGGCGAGGACGCGGCGAGTTGGGGGCGCAAGCTGCTGGAAGCGAGCGGCGGTGACCTGGACGTGGGTGGCGAGGAGGAGGAGGTGGGGGAGGCGACGGACGACGGGCTGGACGAGGCGGTGCGGGTGCTGCTGAGCTGGAAGAAGATCAAGAACGCGGCGAATCAGGCGGCGAAGAGCGAGGCGGGGCAGAAGGCGGGAGGGTTGGTGAAGAATGTGGTGAAGAAGGGCGGCAAGGAGGCGCTCACGGCTGCAGTCAACGCGTTCCGCAGCGGCAAGGGCGCCAAGGGTGCCCTGCAGGCGGGCGCTGGCTCGTTCGTCAAGACCGCGAAAACGATGATCTAAGTGGGAGAGGGGAGATTGGAGGGGTGAGAGGCACGGCGGAGTGGAGTTGGGCAGCGGCAGGCAGGGCAGCAGCGCAGCTGGTATGGTGCCTGCTGCTGGTAGCAGCTCGGTGCAGTGGGGTTCTGCAGCGGCAGACAAGGCACTCCATACGCTGCTCCTGCTGCTGCTGTTGCCTCCACTGCTGTCGGTGCTTCTGCCTGCTGCTGCGGTCCCTTCTGTCTGTTGCTGCTGATGTGGCTTGCAAGTGGCACGGTTTGCAAACTTGGTTGCTTAGTTCTGTCCTGGTGATGCTGCTGGGAGAGGTATGTGTGTGTGGGGGGGTGGAAGGGTTAGGTGGTGTGTGTGGGTGAAAGAGTTAGGTGGGCGTGTGTGGTGTGAGTGCATGGTTGGTAGCGGAACTGGGTGCTCCTTTGGTTCTTCTGTAATCGCAAATATATCTGCTGCTACCATGCATTTGCTGAAGGCATTGAAAGTTAGTATGGGGTCGTGAAAAGAATCTTGGTGTTCTGAATCTGAAATTGTCATACATCACGCACTCACCACACACGCCAGGCAGTCACCACACACATCAGACACTCGCCACACGCACTGCGCACTCACCACACACGCCACAACTGGCTCACTGTCTCTCCTGTCCTGCTCACGCACACCGTCAGTTGAGGTGAAGAGTGGCAGAAAGAATTCAGGCTCTAGATAACGTTACCGACGCTGGCCGCCTTGAGAGCAAGTGGGAGCTGCTATGGTTCCGAATTTGAATCAAGTGGGAGCTGCTATGGTTCCGTAGTTGGCATTTTGACGCGCCACTGATAGCATATACACCCCAACCCTGATGACATTCTCTGAAAAATCTGATTCCATACCGAATCTGCTTCTTTCCACAAGCAATTCCTGCACCCTTCTTCGCATCCTCTTCCCACATACCGCTCTTCCATTTGCTTCCTCCCGGCTAACCTTGCTTGATGCACTTGTCATGCATGTTCTTCCCCAATACATACCGTATTACCCCGGATAAAAGAGCAGGTGCGCTTATAATAAAACAGTGTTTTTTGGGGGGGTGCGCTTCTAATTGAGGTGTCTGTATACGCGCATGTCAAATGTTGTAGCCTGTAGTGAGGTTTGTCTTAGGGGGTACAGAAGTTAGGGTTTGTCATATGTACCCCAACCAACATCAATGCAACAGTCATTCCTCATTCTGACATGGTATCAGCTAGGTTAGGATCCTGTGGGATCCCGTTCCTCCGTTCTCCGTTCGTACCTCCCGAGCCTGATCCTACCTCTCGTTCGTACCAGTTTCGTAGTTACCGCGCCTAGTACCGAGCCTAGCGTCATCTCCCCCGTCGCGTCACGCCTGTTCCCCCCCCCCGTCGCGTCACGCCCGTTCCCCCTGTCGCGTCGCGCCCGTTCCCCCCCGTCGCGTCGCGCCCGTTCCCCCCGTCGCGTCGCGCCTGCCTGTTACCCCCCCCCCGTCCCGTCGCCCTGTCCCGTCACGTCGCCCTGTCCCGTCGCCCTGTCCCGTCGCCCTGTCCCGTCACATCGCCCTGTCCCGTCGCCCTGTCCCGTCGCCCTGTCCCGTCGCCCTGTCCCGTCGCGTCGCCCTGTCCCGTCGCGTCGCCCTGCCCTGTCCCGTCGCGTCGCCCTGCCCTGTCCCGTCGCCCTGTCCCGTCGCGTCGCCCTACCCCGTCGCGTCGCCCTGCCCTGTCCCGTCGCCCTGCTCCGTCGCGCCGCCCTGCCCCGTCGCGTCGCCCTGTCCCGTCGCGTCGCCCTGCCCCGTCGCGTCGCCCTGACCTTTCCCCCGTCGCGTCGCCCTCCCTAGGCCCTGGCCTGTCGCCCTTCCTAGGCCCTGGCCCGTCGCCCTACCCTAGGCCCTGGCCCGTTGCCCTACCCTACGTCTTGGCCCGTCGTCCTAGCCCACTCTTCCGCTGCGACTGAGTCCTCTTCCCCCCCCGGTTGTTACTCGCCTGTTCGTTCTCACTATGGCGACTCCGCGAGTTCTTCGTTTCGACGCCGACGGTAGACCCCTTGACTTTTCCGTCTGGCTTCTTCGCGCTCGTCGTCTGTTAGAGAGTCAGGTCCAGGGGGGCGAGACCCTCTGGTCACACGCTACTGGTGACCTCCCCGAGCCCCCCGAGCCTACAGCTTTAGGCCCTGCTCCTGACGATGCTGCTACGGCTCGCTTTGCCCGTCAGCGCGCTGACCGGACGGCTTGGACGTCGCGTGACGCTGCGGCCTGCATCGCACTCAGCAGCCTCCTCCCTGAGTCCGAGGAGGTCCACTTTACTCAGGTTCGCACCGCTGCTGCGTACCTCACTGCGATTAAGGCCCGCTACTCTACTCCCGCTACTGTCTCTCTCGGCCGTCTTTTCCTCCCGTTCCTGTTTCCTGATCTTGCCTCGTTTGAGCGCTCTGCTGACTTGATCGCTCACCTCCGCTCGCTTGACGCTAGTTACCGCGCTGCTTGCACTGAGGCACAGCTTGCACTGCTTCCTCCCCCCATGGCGATTACTGTCTATTTCATCGCCACTAGCCTCCCTGACCGCCTTGCCTCCGTTCGTGACGCGCTTCTGCTGAAGCACCCTAGTGAGCTGACTATCGAGGTCCTTGAGTCTGCACTCAAGGATGTCGAGAGCAACCTTCGTTCGGTAGCTGCCGCCTCTGGTACTGTATCCCCCCCACTCTTCCACGGGTGCACAGTCCCGCAGTTACCCACCTTCACTGCCTCTCTTGCCACTGCCGCTACTGACGCGACTGCGGCTGCTGTTACGACTGCGTCGCGGTCCCGCGGCAGGGGGGGCAAGAAAGGTGGTTCCGGTGGAGGTGGAGGCGGAGGTAGCGGAGGTAGTGGGGGTGCTGTTGCGACTGGCGGTGGTGGGAGTGCAGCGTCTGGAGAGACCCCTCGTGCAGCGGCCGGTGACTCCACTGCACCTGCTGGTGGCAGCGACCCTCGAGCTCGTCAGTCGCCTCCTGTACTGTCGGCCCCGCTAGGTGGAGCAGCGGCGTGGTACCAGGCTCAGCGTCAGCAGCACCT